GCAAAGAAACATAGTTAGACATCTATTTTAGTGGATGGAAAAAAATCTGTCTATAGTTGTATGCTTCTTCACATATTTCTTCTGTGTATGGATCTCATAATACACTTGGAGGTATTTTATGTAATATCATTTGCAAACATAAAACAACATTGTATAGGTAAGAATGGCTTTTTAAATCAAGTTCATTATGCCTTAAGTCATTTCACTGAGAGAGGCAACCGTCTGGACTTTTATTCCATCAGAACACAACTGCGACTTCCAGTTCCGGTTTGCGGCGTCACTAGTCGTACGGAAAGATCTCTCTCCTTGTCGGCTAGGTTTCCCTCCATTGGTGGACCTTTATACGGGTCCAAAGTCGCCCTGGAGGGTACAACTTCCATTGAGGAGGCTGCTGTCCGGCTACGGAGGAGCAGTGGCTCCTCCAGCTGTCCGGACGAATCTCCGAGGGCCGACGGAGAAGAAGATCGGTCAGTAAAATGGCTGATCGTCCTGCCACTACAGACCGCAAGTCAGACAACATCTAAACTAAGAGTGCCCCTGTGGTGAATCCGGGTGAGAATCTTTTCTTGTTTTTTCTCTCTTTTCTGATTTTTTTGTTTGTGTACCTGTAAGAGCCTCTGGAATTATTTCCCTGGCTTCGAAAGGCGGCTTCTGCTTCTTTTTGGGAAGAAAGGCATTTTACAAATACTGAAAGACTATTTACTTCTATTTGGATACTAAAAAGGAAAAAAAGATGGAAAAGGTTTTCTCTCTCTTCTCTTTTTAAGAACTGTACCATTTCTTTATATATATATATATATATATATATATATATATATATATATATATATGTGTGTGTGTGTGTGTGTGTGTGTGTGTGTGTGTGTGTGTGTGTGTATATATATATATATATATATATATATATATATATAAAAATACTTCAGAAGACAGAAAAAAAGGAATTGATTTTTGGAAAAGACTTTCTTAACTCACTGAGGGCATCTAGTGGTGAAAGTTCAATACTACAACTTTGCTTATTTTTCTATTGAATTTTAAAATACTAAAGATAAGCTGTGCACCTGTGAAGCTGGGGGGGGGGTGGATGTTTTTTTGTATTAAATATAGCCTTCACAAAAAAGAAAAAGATCTTCTTTTAAGCATTAATATTAAAATGGAGAAACCTCAGTTACAACTGAACTGTGCACTTATATTGGAAAAGATTTATGAGGCCACTGCAGAAATATGTGCTACAATTAAAAACTCTAACTTAGAATTAAGATCCAGAGACTCTACTACATTTGCTCAAACTGATGTTCAGGTTACAACTGACTATGGCATAAATCAAAATGTACCAGAAGAGGATTCTAAAGAGATAGAAGAGGAATTTACTTCATCTGACAACTCTTTCTTCAGCAACTTAGAGTACCAGAAGAAGCAGAGACCAAGATTTCTAACTACAAAGCAACTACATTCCAAGGAGAACAGGAAAAGATGTTTACTGCAGAGGAAGGGATTTATATTTCCTCAAAGACCACTACAAGGAACAAGAATGGATTTATTGGTTGAAAGGGAAAAAAGACATTTACTTCAGAGGAAGGGACTTATATTCCTTCAAAGATTACTACAAGCAACAAGAATGGATTTATTGGTTGAAAGGGAAGCACTTCTATGGAAGCCTGTGTGGCATAAAAAGAAACCCAGAATTAGACTTAAAAAGAAATTCAAAAATGTTTAATGGAGTAAAAGGCAATGCTGATTTTAGGGATTGTTTTAAGGATAATGATTTAAAGTTAGAAGTAAGAAAAATGCAATTATATACATGTGTGTTTAAATTAGTTAGATGATTTTTTTTTGAAAGGCTATTAAGGATAGAAAATATATAATCATATACATACAGATACATATGTTTGGGAATTGAAAAAATGTTCAGTTATGGAAATGGAATTTTGAAATGCTTAAACTGTTTAGGTGATTTTTGATAATAATATGATCTGATAAAGTATGATAATTAATTGGATGGAATTTGAAGTTTGTGTAATGAATTGAAAGGATTTTTCTTTTTTTCTTTTTTTTCCTTTTCTCTCTTTCTTAATTAAGTTAGTTACAATTATATACATATGTGTTTTTTGTTGTTGTATGGAAATTTGTTTGGAAAAAAGAACCTTGGCTTTATGGTTGATAAGATATGATAATTAATTGAATGGAATTTGAAATTTGTGTAATGAAGTGAAAGGAATTAAGGTTTAACATTGTTTTTTTAATTAAGTTAGTTATCATTGGAAGAAGAAATGAATGAGATTGATGATGAAAAGAGGGCTGAGAGAGATTAAGAACTTTAATATACTTGGTAGAGATATTTGAAGTGATAATTTGTTGATGTAAAACAATATTTAATTATGGTAATTCTAAATTGATAAAGCTTTAAAACAGGTTGAGTAGTAATAGAAATTTAAGCTAGAAATGGAATATATTAAATCTATTATGTTATCTGTAAGAAATAGAGAGATGATAGTGAATGTATTAAGTTGAGCTGTTTTTGTATGTTATTTTTCCCTTGGAATGTTTGTTTACCCAAACCATGGTGTATCTTAAATACTTTTTGTTAAAATTAAAAAAAAAACAATAAAATATATTCCCCCCCCAAAATAACACAACTGCAATTCTTATATCTGTTGATGCAAAACAATGTCTTGTTAATCAGGGAGTCTTTTCTCAAATGAGATTCCGTGACAAGTAAAACTCCTTAGTGACATTTGTCTTTTCAGGTTGACAAATGCTCTTTTAGTGTGAGATTATATTCAGAAATCCAAATGTTTTTAATGTTTGACTTTATGAAAAGAGGGACCAACAATAGTGTTGGAATGAAGAGCTGACAAATAGATTGTCTCTTTGTAATTCCTGTTTAGACAAGGAAAGGAGATTGCCCACAAGTGTTCCAGACAGTTGCTCCTCACAAGGAGACGGAAAGACAGTGGTCTTTGGCAGGTTTAGAAGTTTGGGAGAAGGGAATAATCATTTCATTCAAACTCTAGTTGGTGCCTCTGAAAGGACAATGGTTTTGCACACTTTTAAAATCACTTTAAGAAATAGCTTGTTAACTGCTTTTCAGCTATTAGGAATCTAATTTTTACATCAGGTAAGTTTACTTCAGTCATTAGTAAAAGAAGTTTTAAATGTAGGTTTAAGGCAGGGGTGTCAGCTCGCAATGTCACATGACGTGTCGCGACGTATCGCTACTTTTTTTCCATTGCTGGCAATGGGCTGGGCACAGTTTTGGCATGATGCATTTGGCCCACAGACTGGCAATTTGACACCCCTGGTTTAAGGGCTCAATTTTTGTTTAAAGTAACAGAAAAAAAATGATTAAAACTTTGATTTTAGAAAGTTACAAATGGACTAAAGTTCAAGAAAAAAATTGAAATAAGATTTTGGAATAAAAATCTAGATTGTCAAACATTCTTATAATTGTATTCTTGTTGCAAAAGTAATTGGTAATGCTGTTTTCGGGGAAAAGCAAAAGTGTGAAGTCCAAAGCTTTATATCTACCCTGTATGCTTCATTGAAATAAGTAAGTTTAACTATTTTGAGAACAGATTCTACTTAAAATACATGGAGATGAAGCTTCCAAACCTTATGCCCAAATTATATTGGTAAAATCTGACTACATTCATAAAGTGAACACTTAAGAGAACAAATGGATCCAAGCAAATAATTAGTATGCTCTATTTCCTAAAAATGGATCCGTTATCTTTTCTGTCTCTCTTTCTCTCACATAATACAGATAGAGAATTACCCAAACGAAGCACAGTGTGTCTTTTTTGATATTAATTTGGCAGATTTCATATACCTATTATCCCAGTTGTTGCACATCATTAAGAAAACTCTCATTCATTGATGAGAGGACCAAACAGCTATGGCTTCCAAATATGTTTACTTTGCTAACTTCATTTTAGCTATTTATAATTTAAATACACAGCATGTTTTTGCTTTAAAACAAAGGGTCTTTGATAAGGAATGGTGGAAATATTAAATTGGATCAATATACCTTCCTTTGCATTCATACCTTGGCTTTTTTATTATCTGGGTTTTCTCTGAAAGGTGAATTAGATGGAATTGAAAAAAGCAGAATCTCACACTTATGCTCTTATGTTTTATTATTTATTTAACAAACATTACAAGCAATGAATCTGTTAGTGTCTCTGAACTATTCGTAGGGCAATGTCATTCTCTAGAAGCTTATATTCATGCCTTCCTGACTACCTGCTGACTCAAAATCTCTTTTATTCCGATTCAATGAATATGGAAAATCTGGAAGTATTGGATTGTGCAAAGAAGGTCTGTTTGTTTTTAATCTTTGAGTGAAACTAGAGTGATACAGGTGATTACAAAACTCTTTTTGCTTCAAATTCCCCCTTTGCTGATGTTTGATGTGCAAATTGATGCTAACACTACAAACAGAAATCCAGTATTAAATGACCTTTCTAGGTCCTCTAGTTATAGTTCTCTTTGTTTACATCTTTTTAAATCAAGTAAGCACACAGGAAGAAGACAGAGAGATGTGTCCATCTTAACTTTTGACGTAACTATCAGATGGGTTATTAGATATAAACTGCAAGTTTTTTGTAGCTTCTTACTGCCACCTAGTGATTGCCCAGATTTTTATAGACCAGCTCTTAATAGTTTAAGGTAGCAGAGGGTAAATTAATGACAACACTGAATTCAAGATGGAATTGCAATCAAATTTTTAGACATGTTATAAAAGTTATATTGTATGCATTTATGTCTGTTTATATATATGTAAGCATTCATTCATTCATTCATTCATTCATTCATTCATTCATTCATTCATTGAAAAGCAGAGAAATTTGGGACCAACTGACATATCAAAGAAAATCCATTGAAATTGATACTGCAGTACTGATTCTTCTGTAGTTATTTTCTTGCTAGACTTAAATGCAAATGGCAAAAAGACAAAATACATAAATTAACATAATTATGTCTAAATGAAACTGATACTAAAGGAATTTTCACTTGCCACTCTTCATTTTTCTTCCTGGGAAGGAGATTCCATTTGCAGTGCCAATATTCAAACTTGAATTTTAAACCCAATCTGATATTTGCAGTGAGGATTTTAATCTTAGGCATTCCACACCAGGAGAATTTTAGCCTGTGGATGTAAAGAAGCATTTTAGTCAGATCTTTTATTTAAAATTCCAGCATCATGCAATTAAACTCTTCAACATTTTATTGCTATGGGGACAAATATGTGAGCTTGGCATACTCTTATTTATTCACCCAGAAGTTCTCTCTCTTCCACACTATAATTGCACATCGTTCAAGGTTCTTCTTTACATTCCATACACACTGTGCATTCATTTGATTTTGTAATTTTGGGATTTGATGCACTGAGTTCAAAAATAAAATAAATTTGTATTCATAGGACCAACTATTAGTAACTTAGTGTACATGGTTGTAAGCATCTCTCTTAATCTCTCATACCATTAGATAAAACAATCTCCACACTAGAAATTATAGATTAGCTGCCTAGTATATTTGTTTATCTGTCCGTCCATTCTTCCATCCCTCCATCCATCTCTCCATCTATTCAACTAAAATAGCTTCAGTTAGTGTAGTTCAGGGGTGTGAAACTGCTGGCCCATGGGCCGGATGCATCATAGCGAAACCGCACGCACCACATTGCCAGCAATGGCAAAAAAGTCATGACACATCACATGACATTGCGAGTTTGACACCCCTGGTGTAGTTTGTGATCACAACAGACAATTATAGAGGGGGATAAGAGTAGTGTCCTACCTGGTTGGGTTCATGGATTGTACAAAGTATTAACAACATATTATTAATCTGAGCAAAGCACTTCTCATTATTGTTCTCCTTATTGTTTTGTCTTTTGTTTGTGTGGTTGCTTCAAAAGCTGTCCCAGGTCTATTATGCACATGAGATCCTGCATTGGTCCTTTGTTTCTCTCAAAGCTGATCTGAATTTACCTCTTGCATCATCATCAGAACTGGCTGGCAACTATTTCCATTGTTCACTCATTCTGAAAGCAACTTCCACCCATGTTTGCCTGCTTGGGTTCAATCAATCAATCAATTAGAATAGAACTGGAAGGGATCTTGGATGTCTTCTAGTCCAGGGGACCCCAACCCCTGCTCCGTGGACCAGTACTGGGCCGTGGCATACCAGCAACTGGTCCGCACAAACAAGCAAAGCCCCATCTGTGGGATGCAGGTAGCACACAAAGCCATGCACCCTCCAGTCCACAGAAAAACCTCTCTTCATGGAACTGGTCTCTGATGCCCAAAAGGTTGGGGACTTCTGTTCTATCCAACCCCCTGCTCAAGTAGGAGTCCCTATACCATTTCAGACAAGTGATTGTTTAATCTCTTCTTAAAAAGCTTCACCGAGGAAGCACCTATAACTTCTTAAGGCAAGCTGTTCCACTGATTAATTGTCCTCACTGTTAGGAAGTTTCTCCTTAGTTCCAGGTTGCTTCTCTCTTGATTAGTTTCCCTCCATTGTTTCTTGTCCTGCCTACAGGTGATTTGGCAAATAAGTGAACCTCCTCCTCTTTGTGGCAATCTCTCAAATATGGGGATACTGCTATCATGTCACCCTAGTCCTTTTTTTCTCTAGAGTAGCCAAACCCAAATCCTGCAATCATTTTTCATATGTTTTAGTCTCCAGGCCTTTAACCATCTTAGTTGCTCTTCTTTGCACTTTTTCCAAAGTATCAACATATTTTTTGTAACGTGGTGACCAAAACTGGATGCAGTATTCCAGGTATGGTCTTACTAAGGCTTTATAAAGCAGCACTAATATTTCATGTGATTTTGATTCTATGCCTCTGTTTATACAACCAAGGATTGTATTAGCTTTTTTGGCTGCTGCCACACACTGCTGGCTCATATTTAATTGATCGTCCACTAGGACTGCAAGGTCCCTCTCACAGTTACTGCTTTTGAGCCAGATTTTGCTTTATCTGTACTTGTACTTTTGGTTTTTCTTGTCTAAGTGTAAAATCTTACTTTTCTCCACATTAAATTTCATGTTGTTGGATAGGGGCCATTGATCAAGCCTATTAAGATCTGTTTGGATCCTGAGCTTGTCTTCTGGGGTGTTGGCTATTCCTGCCAGCTTAGCGCCATCTGAAAATTTGATGAATTCCCCATCTATTCCCTCATCTAAGTCATTTATGCAAACAGTGAAAAATATTGGGCCTAAGATGGAACTCTGTAACATCCCACTGCTTACTTCCCTCTGTGTATATGTAATTTACCATTAAGGATGACTCGTTGAGTACAGTTTGTCAGCCAGTTACAAATCCATCTGGTGGTGATGCTGTCTACTGTATCCCACATTTTTCTAACTTACCAAGATGCAGATCTACTTTGTCTACTTTGTCTAATGTCTTGCTGAAATCTAAATATACTATGTCCACAGTATTTTACTGGTCTACTAATTTAGTCACTTTGTCAAAGAATGAAATAAGATTGGTTTGGCATGATCTATTTTTAACAAGCCCATGCTGGCTTTTAATTATAGTTTTATTTTTTTCTAGATTTTCACAGATCTGTTTTTTGATTTTCTTTTCCAGCATCTTCCTAGATATTGATGTTAGGCTGATTGGTCTGTAGTTTCCTGGGTCTGTTTTTTTCCTTTTTTCCCTTTTAGAAAAGATGGGAACCACACCAGCTCTTTTCCAATCTTCAGGTAATTCCCCAGTGTTCCAGAATTTTGGAAAAATATGGTACAATGGTTCTGAGATAACATCTGCCAGTTCCTTCAGAACTCTGGAATGTAAATCATCAGGTCCTGGTGATTTATATTTGTCAAGATCAGATAGGTATTCTCTAACCATTTTCTTGCTTATTTTAATTTTTATTTCTAGTCTGTCTTTTGCAGGTTTTTAGTAGATTGAGCTATAGTTTCTTTTTGTGTGAAGACTAATACAAAGTTAAGCAGCTCTGCTTTCTGTCTACTGCCTGTTACCTCCTTGCCATCTTCTCTCTTAAGTGGACCTACTGCTTCCTTGATGTTTTTTACTGTAGTAGCAGTAGGTCCATTTAAGAGAGAAGATGGCAAGGAGGTAACAGGCAGTAGAGAGAAAGCAGAGCTGCTTAACTTTGTATTAGTCTTCTCACAAAAAGAAACTATAGCGCAATCCACCAAAAACCTGTAAAAGACAGACTAGAAATGAAAATTAAAATAAGCAAGAAAATGGTTAGAGAAAGAAACCTTTTTATTATTGAAAGAAATTTTTTTATTATTATTATCTTTGACTTTTGTTGCAAGGCTTTGTTCATTCTGAGCCTTAGCTTTCCTGACTTCATCTTTGCAGATTCAGGCTATATGCTGGTATTCTGCCTTAGTTATGTGTTCCTCTTTCCATTTTTCACTTTTCTTTCTTATTGAATATTGAATGATCCCGTCTATTTGGGCTAGAGTGCTTTCGTTGGCTGCAGCGTAACATTGACAATTTATTGGGTACTTTGCAAAAAATAAACAATGACTTATTCAAGTGCACCCATGTTTAATTCTTATAACTTCTATTTTTGTCCTATTATAACAGAACAGTCAGTAACATTATAGCAATGCAGCACTGATATTGTTGATTCCATGCACAGTAGGAACTTGCTCTATTTTTGCTTTTCATACTGCTTTTCCCCCAAACTTCCACTTTTCTTTCTGTTTCTTTATGTCTTCTTTTTTTCGTTTCCTAATAAGTGCGGTTTCACCATTTATTGATTTTTTTTTTCAGCTACTCTCAGTTTTCAAATAGGACAACTATGAGATATTTGGGGCGAGAGTGAAAACCTTGATGTGTTAGCTTTGTAAATATATATTTAATTTAACTTGGCATGTTTATTATTATGATTATTAGCCCAAATCTACCGCAGAATAAAGGCCTCTTCACTGAAGATTAATCTAAGATTAATGTAATCTATCATATCAATCCAGTGATGTCTTCCTGCTTTTAATACAGTACTTTAACTACTAAATCATTATACCATATTCTTTCTATGTGTCTATATGTCTCTGTCTATACTAGAAAAAAAAGAGATAGAAGAGAGGACTAGAAATCAAGGAATTTTGGCACATCTTTCCCATTATCCTAGACATTTGTTGACATGTAAAGAGATATACATTAAATGTAAGAGATATAGAAAGACTGTGGAGCTGCCATATTCAAAATCTTACTGGCATCTCTCCCTTTTGTTAGAACAGTGGGAGTGATGGAGGGCTTCATGCCCAAAAGGAGGAATGTTCCTCTTTGTATACATGGGCCATTCTCTTCCTAGAAAACAAAGAAGATTGTAACAGATCATAGGAGGGACCACAGGACTGAAGGACAGCTTAAAATATAAGCAGAAATACCCTGATAAGCAAAAGCAATTCTACGGTAAAGAGACAGAACCATATATATAAGCCAGGGTCAAGCAGGGTGATACATTCAGTTTTTGAATTATCAGAGGCTACAGTGAAATTCTGACTGGAAATAAATGGATCCAGGAAAAAAGTGGAATTTGATTTAATTAGATTTAGATCAATATCGTATATATAATTATCCTTCTGTATTCAGTTCCTTTTCTTTTCATTTCACATTAAATATTATAGTTCAGAGGGAACTTGAAGGATTTCTTGTGTTGGGCCCAAGTCTTGGAGAGGAATATGTTTCTCTGGATTGCTTGTTGTATGCCAAAACCAATTATATTTTAATACCCCACTGTGTTACAGAAAGTGTCACACACAATTGTTTTCATAACAAACAAAACAAAAGCTAAAAAAATTGGTCATTCTAGAAGTAATAATTGATTAAGAGGGTGATTAAAAATGTAATGTTTTGTTAGTTTCCTGTGCATCAGAATGGAAATATTGAAGTTTTAATGGCCTTTGAAACATAACTATCTTCTTACCAAAAATGACATTAGCAGTTCTCTTTTCTAATATTGAAAATGGATAGACCCTTTGATGTAATCATCAGTGCAGTTAATGGTGGCAATATTTTCCTTGCCCACAATAGGATTTCATTCGTTCTATAGTCTTTTTTAAATCTATCATTTCACCATGCTATATTGTTTTATTTTTGTAGAAGGTTTGGAATTGGAGATGGGGGAGGGCAATTCTTTATATAGACAATAATTCCTA